GGGGCTCAGTCAGTTGGGCGACCAACTTCAGCTCAGGTCATGATCTCGCAGTCAGTCCATGGGTTCGAGCCCCGCGTCGGGCTCTGGGCTGACAGCTCGGAGCCTGGGACCTGCTTCAGATTCTGTGTCTCCCTCTCTCTCCGCCCCTCCCCATCTTGCTGTCTGTCTGTCTCTCTCTCTTCTCCTCCCCCCTTGTGTTTTGGGTATCAAAAATAAATAAACGTTAAAAAAATTTAAAAAAAGAAGTTTCATGGACCAAAGCTTGACTGTCTTTTGAATATGTCCCCATGCACACTTTGGGACTGACCCGTCATGATCTCATGTAACTATCTTCACATATGTATTTTCCAGTCAGTCTTCACCAACCGGCACCGTCATCCTGCACAAGGTCCCCAAACTGCTAGCCTCACGGGGATCTTTGTACTTGGGAAGATTGAGAACAACTGCCCCATAATTTGAATCTTTGGGGCAGGGGATTCAATATATCCAAAGCGAGTTGTTTATCATCAGAAGACCCATGAAGGAGAAGCTGGGTGGGTAGCCAATGAAAGACGCGGTGGGAATAGCAAGCAATTACCTGCGAATTTTCTTCTTTCCCATTTCCTCTCCGATAGCTCACCTCGTGCTTCCACCCACACTCTCCTGGTACTCCAGCGACGATACAACAATACTCCCACTGTCTGCATCCACTTTGCAATACGGTCCTGATGCGAACATAAATGCAGGATTGCACACTCTGCTGCTTGCTTTGAACTGACCACAAAGCCTATCCCTGTGGAATCCCAGCCTCCACGTGCATGGCGGTCATTCACGGGGACTTGCCTATCTCTTCTGACGCCCTGCATTGGCCTCTGAATAAAGCTGACTTCAGATCGATGAGCAGTCAGGTACTCCAAGCCTCGATCCCAGAGCACCCAGAGATTGCAGATGTGGGAAGACTAAACGTAGTTAGGCAGGAAGAGGTGTAACACATGGATGTGATTTTAGGGGCTCGTTTTGGCCATATCTGTATAAGTATGACAAGATTGAGCGTACCTGAAAGAAGGGGCCAGCCACTGATGTTTAATATCAACTCAATTTTGACTGTTGTTAAATTCATAGCCACCCTTGATTTTCAAGACCTATGGGGGGCACCTGGGTGGCTCGGTCAGTTAAGCATCTGACTCTTGATCTCAGCTCAGGTCTTGATCTCAGGGTGGTGAGTTCAAGCCCCGCATTGGTCTCTGCACTGAGCATAGAGACTACTTTAAAAAAAGACCTAGGAGGGGCGCCTGGGTGGCACAGTCGGTTAAGCGTCCGACTTCAGCCAGGTCACGATCTCGCGGTCTGTGAGTTCGAGCCCCGCGTCAGACTCTGGGCTGATGGCTCAGAGCCTGGAGCCTGTTTCCGATTCTGTGTCTCCCTCTCTCTCTGCCCCTCCCCCGTTCATGCTCTGTCTCTCTCTGTCCCAAAAATAAATAAACGTTGATAAAACTTATAAAAAAAAAAAAAAGACCTAGGCATCAAGACACATGTGCGTGCCCATGTGTCTTACAGACCTCAGCATTTGACGGTTCGTGCTTCCCTCTGACTTCCAGCCACAGCCTTTCGTAATGCTGGAAAACCCAGCTAGAGGATCATCATTTGGTCCAGGGGTTTCTCTGCCAGGGAGCAAGGGGGCAGACTGATACCTGAATAGGTAGAAATACAGACCCATCCCCCTCCTTCAGGCAAAATAGTCCGCTTTCCTCTGTTAATCAAATTTATCTGTTATCCATTAACGTTCTGTCTGCTGTTGGGGAGGAGGTTTGAAATCCACTGCTCTGGCCTAAATTTTCAACAGTAATGAACAACCTGTTTTCCCTGAGTCAAAAATGCATCCATTAGGGGGCACCTGGGTGACCCAGTTGGTTAAGATTCCGATTCTTGATTTCGGCTCAGGTCACGATGTCACAGTTTGTGAGTTAGAGCCCCAGATCGGGCTCTGCGCTGAAGCACGGAGCCTGCTTGGGATTCTCTCTCTCCCTCTCTCTCTGCCCCTCCCCTACTTGTTCTCCCTCTTTCAAAATAAATAAATAAGCTTTGAAAATGCCTTTAGTTTGTGAGTGATGAAAAGGCCGTGTCTACTGTGATTAGTCTGAAAACTTTTATTTTGAAAACAAATTAAGTCCTGCAAATGTAGCTTTTTTGAGTAACCAAAGCAGTGACGTAAGCTCTGGGGCATCATGAGGCAAGACTGTGGAAAAGCAGCACAGGTGATAGAGTCAGGCGACCTGGACCCGGAGGTCCCAGGAGACCCGGTCCCCACCACATTGCATTACCCGAGTGGCCTGAGCAAGCCCCGAACCACTGCAATTTGCATCTGTCGTTCGTTCCTGAGTGACCACCCATTCCTGAGAATATTCTCTTCCTGGTCCCAGGGCTTCACCACCACCTACCTTCTGAGGACCCAAACTACTCCTGCTATAGGACCCTGCCTTTATCCAGCTGCTCTGGGCCTCAAAGTTTTCTAGATCTCAATACGGACAGATTACATTATGTCCAACCCCCTCTGCCTCATGCCCTATCTTGATTGGCGAGAGTTTCTGCATCTAGAAACCAAGGGCTCACAAAGGAAGCCATGTCTGAGGACCCTCCCTCCTGGACGTCTTTCAGGTTCAACCTTCCCCGCCACTCCCATGACTGTCTTAATCCAACAACACCCCCCCTCTTGCCTGAACTATTGCAGTCACTGCCCCTTGGTTTTCCCACACTTGAACCCGGCTTTCCTTGGTACCGTTCCCCGGTCAACATTGCCTCTAAACACCCGACTGCTAACCTCTCTGGCTTGACATGCTTTTCTGGCTCTTCGTGGCCTGCGCATTCCCATTACAGCTCCTTAAGGGGCGTGGTCTGGCCTCTGCCCGACCCTCCAGGTCCATCCCAACGCCCTGCCCTGTCACCTGTCACTCCAACAATGGGCACCCCCTGGGAAGGTCAGGCCACTGAGAATACGTAACACATAACTGCCACCTGCATTTTTGTGTTTGCAGTTCTGTGCTTCTGGTGGCTTTTGGAAAACACTTGTCTGAGTCAGTCCTGTTTACACATGGAACTTTCCTTTAAGAAAATGTTCCAGTGTCTCAAACTAACTCCATTTTGTAGGATGTCGCTGTTTCATGAGAAATACATCATGGTAACGTCATGGTTATCACAAGAGGGATTTAGTATTGGTTCTAAAGGAGAATTAGTTTCTACCAGCTAAAGATTATTTCCTAAGAGAGTCTGAAGAAATGATCACTCCGTGACATCACTAAGGACAGAGAATAAAGGCCACTGATCACCCAGAGAGAGCACACTCCTAAGCGTCTCTGGCCTGGATGTTTTCTTTGTTCTTTTGGATTACAAAATATGACAAAAGAGGGGAAACAGCATAAACAGACTCCAGAGAGACCCACGATCCAGCCTCCACATCCTCTGCACGCACACTCCCCCTGGTTCCAAAGCCCCGCCTCCCTCTGCTGCCCACAGCCCCTTCTCTGCCCCCTGGAGATTCCAAACCTTCCCCCTGGGCGACCCCTCTTCGTTCCCTAATTAGGACTCTTTAAATCAGGAATCCAATGTCTTGTGCAGTTAGGCATTTAATAATTATTCCAAGGTGATGGTGATTTTTATAAGTTTGCCAAGGTCATTGAAAGCTAATGAACTTGAGTCCAATCCAAACCTGAGCACTTGCTCATTTACAGTCTTGTACTTGGGACACAGTAAATTTGTTTTCCCTCTAACTGTACTGGTTGGCTGCAATATTTCTGTTAATAATTTTTCAGTGATCTCTGGAGTAACGAGGTTCTGAGGCCCCTGCCTTTCATATCTCGTGTGAGGCTCTATGACCGTGTTTTGTTGCTCCTTTCTCATTCCGGCCTTTCTCATGTTCCCTTTTCTCATTGCTTCCTTAGGATTTCCATGTCATTCTCTCACTTTTATCCATCACCCATGTGTCCTTTCTTTCTCACAAGATTAAGGTACTTTCCACACTAGACCAAGACCCTCTGTCTGTGGCTATTGGTAAATGTGTCATGCGGCATCTGGCAATGGCATCCATCCCAACAGAATAAGTAATTCACAAGAAAATTCTACATATGAATCCAGTCCAGGAGACGTGAAGCTCAATGTGCACCCTGAGCCTTGGTTTTCCCATCAACGATCCCCAGGATACGTTTTCCCACAAACGATCCTCAGGATATGGTTCACCACACGCATCATTTCTCTTCCGAATCCAGTCCGAGGATGACTGAAACCCCTCAGGGCATTCCTCTGTTGGGATTTTCCTTTAGATAATAAATACACGCAGCAGTGACTCTCAGCAGCTACTGAGAGTAGCTTGCCCAGGGCCAGTAACTACCCTGCACCTGATTTGCATGGCAAGCTCATGAGGTGGGCAATGTTGCCCCCATCCTACAGATGAGGAAACTGAGAACATTTAAACAATGTGCCCAGAGTCACACAGCTAGTACAAGCGATGACACCAGCATCTAGCCATAGGACTGACTCCACAGCCTGTCAGAAAGCCAACGGGGCAAGACACCCTCACTGTTCCTGTTAGGAGTATGGAAGTTTCCTTGTACTCACAAAGCTGACTCACGTAGCCTCTGTGGACATCAACCCAAGAGGGTTCACCTAAAGCACCCAAAGCCCCTTCCCCTCATGCCTGGAGACCCACGGACCTCCTCCTCCAGCAGCTCTCGAGAAATCAAAAAGCGGAGCTCTGGGCAAGAAGTCAGAGAATCACCTCCCAGCCCCCGAAATGCCAGACTAGCCACCTGAGAGCTGTCAGACTCTCTAAATTTTAAGCTCTGACTTAAGTCTTTTGAGCTCCCGAACTCCCTTGCTTCTCCATTAATTGAAAAGACAAAGCAAAACAAAAAGGCAGACCTGCAGGAAACGAGAACTCCCTTCCCGGAACGCTGTGTCACTTTGGAAATGCCTGGCCACTGTTTACATTTGCAATCACACCTTTAAAAATCACTTCTTCGCGCGCATACCTCTCCAGCTGCTGTGTCAGGAGGCTTCGCGTTCACCGCGGGCTGCATGGACCCCGGCGAGGGTGCTGGCTGACTCAGCAGGCCGGCCGCGAGGACCTTGCAGTTTGTGGTTAACAGCAGCGCCCCACGTCCAAAACCTCAGTGTTTGAACAGGTGGAAAATAACGCACGCCAGCCTCCAAAGTGGCTCCGTTTCTTAATCCACCCAGAGGATACATAACACATAACTGCCACCTGCATTTTTGTATGTTTGCAGTTCTGCGCATCTGGCCCTCTGTTTTTAGAAAAGAAGGCGGGGGCGGGGGGGAGAAAAGGCTTTGGAATATACAGATAGTTATAGGAAAAAATGCAAAGGGATGTTTAGAATCATTAGCAAGTTGGATTTCGTTTACATGCCTCTGATAATGCTAAGGTTAGACTTCTGAAGTTTAAATACATTTGTGTGGGTGCTTGTTAATTGATAGAAAACTATCCCACGGCCAGAGCCCGAGAGAGTCTTCTGGGGACAGTAGATGAGCCCAGGAAAAGAGTCGCCTCAGGTGGCCGCTTGTCCGGTATTATTGTTCAGCAAGAAGACTGGCCCATTTTGAGATTTCTTACATCTGAAGCGAACCCTACAAGCCAGACCTGAGGTTGTGTTCCAAGCATCACTTACATCGAATAGCACGCAGCAGGTGTTTTCTTGGATCCATAAATCGTTGTGTTTGTGACCACCAAGGAAAGGGAGCAAATCTGAACTTCCTTCACAGGAACCTCTCCTTTGTCCCCTGCCTTACTCCCTAGCTTGTTTTACCTTTGTTCTCTCTTTATCAATTCCATGGGTGTGTGTGTGTGTGTGTGTGTGTGTGTGTGTGTGTGTGTGTGTGAAAGAGAGAGAGAGAGAGGGAGGGAGGGAGAGAGGTCCCCATATAGGTAAAAAGAGTAATCTTTTAAGGACTGGCCAGAACCCCTGCTAAGGTCCCAGGCCCCCTGCTGTCTGCCTCCTGGAGCCCACACCTAGTCAGCACAAGCTACCGTAACAAAGTACCATAGACTGGGTGGCTGACAACAGACATTTGCTTCTCACAGTTCTGGAGACTGGAAGACCAAGGTCAGCGTCCCAGTGAGGTCGGGTTCAGGTAACAGCCATCTTGTTGGCTTACTGCCCCGGCTCACCCTCCGCGGGCCCCTACCTGGTCTCAATTCGCATCGATTTGGGGCGAGGGGTAATGCAGGTAAACTCCTTCATTATCACCTTGCACGGCCTGTTCCAGAGGCCTCTTCCCTCCTTACTTTAGGAAATTGACTCTTTTTCTTTTTTTTTGATGTTTATTTTTGAGAAAGAAAGAGAGAGAGAGAGAGAGAGAGAGAGCACGAACGGGGGATGGGCAGAGAGAGGGGGAGACACAGAATCCGAAGTAGGCTCCAGGCTCCGAGCTGTCAGCACAGAGCCCGACGTGGGGCTCGAACTCACGAACCGTGAGATGGTGACCTGAGCCGAAGTCAGGCGCTTCACCGACTGAGCCACCCAGGTGTCCCAGGAAAGTGACTCTTGGTGTTGTTGTGCTATCCTCTGCTAAATCTCTCAGTTAGAAAAGTCGTATTTTAACATCCTGTAACAGTCACAAGCATCTCCTCAGTGATCGAAGCAGATTATAGAAGAAATTGTTATGGTTCCACATCGGATTTGCTTTGTTAAAGTGAATACTCATAGAAAACCCCCAAAAGATGAGGTATTACATGGTAAGGGAAGTAGACTTATTATAAGCAATTCTCATTTTCTTTTAGCCTCTCTGTATGTAACAATTACGTGTTGCAATGACCATGTACTTCCTCTATAATCACAGGAAATTACTGCAAACGTCATGTTCGAGTTTTGAAAATAAAATGCAGAAAAGACTACAATGCCATGAGGGCTTTCCGCTCAAATTCGAGTGATTTGCGTTAAAAGGAAAATAATGCTCATAGATTCCTGTGGTTGACAAACTCTTTCATTATAATGTCTCTTAAGTACGTACAAACTTAAAGCTAGTTACAACCCCTTCTCGCCGGCAACTGTTATTTCCAGAGGACATACACAAAGCAATGCCTTCACAGGAACAAACTTCAGATCAATGATATCATTCCATATGACTGATTGCGTTATTTCGCTAAAATGAAATTGCCAGTTCTGGGTTTAATAGTCGAAAAATGTACCGGTGGCTCTTTGTTTACATGTCATTGACTGGAGTATGTTCTATAGCTCGGCTCGATGGCCCACTGTTTGAATCGCCAATGTCATCTTTGCCATAATTTACCCTTTTTTAAATGCACTTTCCTAGTTATTGTTAACTGCCAATCCATTATGTTGACAGGCCGATCATGTATAAAGAATATTCCAAAATGCAATAATAAAAAAAAAACAAAATATGCCATTGTTAAAAGACACACACACACACACACACACACACACACACACACACAATGGGCCCCAGATGGAGTCACTTAGGCTAAGCTCACGTCATCCAACCAAGACTTACAACCTGACCTAATTGTAGGCTCAACCTCTCCCAGGAGTGGAATCTTAAACCAGTCCATCTGGAACTACCCGGTCAGCACCAGTGAGCTAATCCACCTGATAGAAGGTAATCCACCCGGAAGACCTCTGTCGTCCCCTAAAGGAAGGTGACCTTGACATCAACAATCCTCTCTTTGCCAGCAACTTCCTTGTCCCACCCTTTGTGCTTCTCAAATCTTTCACTTTGTACCCTTCTCGGAATTTCTTTCTATTTGTTCGGGGGCTGCTGCTCGATTCATGAACGGTTGACTGAATCCAAAGTGATCTTTAAAATTTACTCAGTTGAATTTTGCCGTGAGACACCCTTTATCGAAGAGTCACTCATGGCCCCTCTCCTGCAACCTTTCCCCCCGAACGCCTGCTGCAATGGGTTCCACAGAAAGTGGGTGAAGTTGCAAGCTGGCAGGCACGGCCCCGCAAGCCTGGGTCCTGGCGTCTGCACCCCAGGGGTAAGGCGAGCTCCAAACTCATCCGCCACGCTTGCAGACCTCCATGCTGTAAATAAAATAGGACTTCGTGTCTGGTTGGTGCAGCCTTAATATCAAGTAGGCCTCTGCTCATCTAAACCCAGGACAATCGAAAAGAGTCTCACTCTACAATCTGAGCTCTTTTAAATGATGTCAGATCAAAGTTTTCCCTGGTCACATGACAGGAGAGTGGAGTCTTCGCCTGTGAGGATGATCCTGGGTACAGAGAAGTCTCCCCTTCAACGCCAAGACAATGGCAGACGGAAGGACGCTGCCGGGTGACATCGAGCCTAGTATACGAGACCACAGGGCACAGAAGTGGTGATAAATGTAAATGTGGGCCTTGAAATAACATGGACAAAGTGGTTTTCTGGAACATGCCAACTCTGTGCTAATTTTTCTAAAGTATCATTAGTACAGAAAGCAAAACTCTAAATCGTGGAGAACTTGTCCACAAAATTTATTTTTTAAGCTACCTAACCCAGTCACGTGGCAATGCGGGTGCTCCTTGGCTCATGGACATGTGACTCCAATCCCTGCCTCTGTCGTGGAGAATTTCCCTGTGTCTGTGTCTTTGTGCCAAATGTCCCTCTTCTCCTAAGAGCAGAAGTCCTTCTGGATTCAGGACCCCACCCTCCTTTGCAGTGGCCTCATCTCAACCTGGTGACCCCAACAACGACCCTATTTCCAAATAAGGTCACATTCACCCGTCTTTTGCAGGCATGGATTTTGAGGGGATACTGATCAACTCGGTAAAAATAGTAAATGTTTCTTGAGCACCTGCTTACTACATAAGAAATAATTTCATATCACTCGCTCTCCCAAACTTCACATTCCAATGTGGAAGTTCAGAAGTAGGCTCATACTGTTAGGATGAAGGTCAGCTCTGTGTTCGAGTCACTAAAGGACACGTCGTAATCGTAGGGGCCCCTGGGTGGCTCAGTCGGTTAAGCACCTGACTCTTGATCTCTGCTCATGAACTCAGAGAACTATGGCCACGATCTCACAGTTCATGGGTTTGGGGCCCGTGTTGGGCTCTGCGCTCACAGTGCAGAGCCTGCTTGGGATGCTCTTTCCCTCTCTGTCTGCCCCTTCCCCTCTCATGCCCTCTCTCTCTCTCTCTTTCCCGCTCCCAAAATAAATAAATAAACTTAAAAAAAAAAAAGAGTACATCATAATTGTAAAAGCATGACTTCTCTTGGCATTTTGCTACATTGGGGGGAAATAGTGGCAGAGCTTTTCATTCATTCCTCATCCAATTAGCATTCTTGAGCACTAAGCTACATGATTTGCATGTATCTTGGGGGAAAAGAATTTCAATATTCATAAGACCCGGTCCCTGCCCTTAAAGCCCTTATTAATTTTTAATAATAATGGGAAGAGCCCCTTCTCGGACCTGGCTCTCAACTCCACTACAAGCAGTAATCTCCCTTCCCCGCTGCAGGGGAAGAAACTCCCTCTTATCCCTTCCATTTCAGGACAGCGGGAATGTTTTGCAAAGAAAGCAAAGAAGATGACAGAGAGTTACTTCTTTTTTAATTTTTTTTAAGTTTATTCATTTGTGAGAGACAGAGAGAGACAGAGTATGAGTGGGGAAGGGGCAGAGAGAGAGGGAGACACAGAATCTGAAACGGGCTCCAGGCTCCGAGCCGTCATCACAGAGCCCGACGTGGGGCTCAAACCCACCAACCATGAGATCATGACCTGAGCCGAAGTTGGACGCTCAACCCACTGAGCCACCCAGGTCCCACGAGAGTTGCTTTTTTAGGGGTGAGGAGGGCTCTTTTGCAAATGGCACCCACCTCTCAAAGCAAACTCTTCCCCTGGCAAGTCTAGAGTTTCCCCGTGAGACAGAGAAGTAAGCCTTACTATTGTCACACAGCTAAAACAGCCATTTTTCCCACTCCAAAAGGGGTGTCGCCCTCCACGTGAGAAGACTTTTAACATGGCCTGAAGTGGGTAGAAGACGTTTGGAGAAGGGGGCGGACAGATCAAAGAGAATGCCTCGCATGTGGGGTGAACCCTGCATAACATCAGGCAGTTTTCTAACACCTGATGATGTTTGCCTTG